TATTTTCGAAGAAGAGTGGCCGAAACTATACGCAAAAGCGAGAGTAAATCACACGAAAGAAACACCCCCGAGCTGTGTATGTGCGCGTATGTTCCTCCATTGATATCAGGGATTTATTTTCTATTTCTTGGAGTGATATCTCACTCAAGATGAGTGAAGAGTGGCAGTATGTTCACTCAAAGCGACAGTGAAAACACTGCCACTCAAAATCACAAAAGTGAATGTTTCACTTAAGCTTAGAGTGAATTCTGCAGGGAAAAAAAAATTTGCTAATACAAACAACTTTATATAAAATTTATATAAAATATTAACTGCATAATATATATATTATCAAATCTTTTAGCTATCATAACTAAATAACTTTGCTATGAAAGCAAGAAAATTTGCTCCTGCAGTTAATATTTTTAGTTGTCCATATATTAGCAAATCTTTTTTTCCGTATGAATTTATGAATGAATGTTTTAGTCAATTAGAATATGAATACATTCCTGTGACAGTGAAGGATATTAGGTACAATTTTTCTCCAATTTCGAGTGAATAATCAATTTATTTTAAGAGTGCTTAAAAAAATATGCTCTAAAAAATACTTACATGGAAGTAACTATATTCCATATAAGTGTTAATTTCTTGAAGCAAATTCTGCATATAAGAGTTAATATTTTTTTAAATACTCTATGAGTTTTTTTAAATACTTTATATAAGTGGAAGATCGTTAAAATTTGACTCGATAGTAATTTTAAGGTAAAAGTACCAATGCTATTAATAACTTTGGTATCTAACTCTAAACTTATTATTTTGGGTTTTCAAGTACAAATATTTGAACTTTCAATATATGTATTTATTGCAAGTTTAAATATTCTTATTTAAGGACCAAACAACAAGATGAAGGTAAGAAGAAATTGGTACTTTTATCTTACTTTCCAAATTCTCCAAATCCCCAAGAAATTTAAAGAGCAATTGTCGGCGAGCGAGTGCCAGACGTCGGAAATCTGACAATGAAATTAACGAATCGTCGTGTTGTTTGCATGTTTGAATGTTTAGAAACACCGTTGTGATCCAGTACGTTTAAGCGTCCCGAGATCAATGAGACGTCGCGAAGTTTGCTACAGCGGAATAGGATGCGCATAGTGACAGTGCGGATAAGTCGACAGTGGTAAAGTCTGGCGTTTAGTCGGACTAGTGAATAGGAGCGGCATCGACGGGACGATCGTGGGTAGTCAAGGCCCGGCTTACGACGACGCGGAGGAGAAGAATCGATCGCGCATCCGCCCCGACGGCGGTTCCCGATGTCCTTTGGTCCGGGCTTAATGACGCCTGAACTGGAGTTTAATCGCGGATTAAGTACGATCCAGCGGCGTTCCAATGCGATTAGAAAAAGGCCGGCGGAGGAGCGGACGGGCGGGCATGCAAATGATCGCGCGCGATATTGCTCCCTGCGTCGTCTTTTACAAGCGGTCACGTTTCATCTTTACGTTTGCTTTTCGCGAGCGCGCGTACTGTCGTCGTGTTTAACATTTAAATGAGTCGTTGCTCGGCGCATTTAGTTTCGTCGCATCCGCTCTCGCGATCATCGATCGAAAGTGAAAATGGTCTCGCGTCAGAAGAATTTTATTATATCGTGTTTCCACGAAAAGAATAGATTTGCTATTCTGATTGGAAATCTCGCTAATTTGACACATTTGCAGCCGTAATACATACGGACAGCTAGGTTTCTATGCTACTATGATCAGTCAGGAGCTATTAAACAAAGCATTCAAACAACAATGACATCGTCAAGCTCTGTGTATATAACAACGCTTTCAAGTAATTAACGTTAAACGGATCGCACGTTTCAGAGCGGCATAAAATAATTGATTGTACCCGAGTCGAAATTTTTGATTCTACATTGACCCTGCAAATTCCGTCGAACTTGAAGAGTCAATGAAGAATCCTAAGATCTATAAGCTATTGACCTACCTTGATGCTGCAAATGGCTGTTTGCTGCTGTTTTCTTCATGTAGACGAAATTCGAAGAGGTATTCGTTCCAGAATTATTTACACAGAGAAAAGAATTTGGTTGGATTAACATGAAGTTTGGTTTTAATAAACGAACCAATGCGTTTTGGTCCAAAGACACAGAATCTCAGTGGTTTCTTTGATCCAAATTATAGCTCTAAGAACCAGAAATTCCATTTTCTTCAACCAAAACGGTTCGTTTATTACAACCAAATTTTTCTCTCTGTGTAATACCGAAATCTTTTAATTTTTAATTATTTAAATTATTTTTTAATTTTAAAAATTATTTATTTAATAATATAATAATTAAAAATATAATAATATATAATAATAATTAAGATTTATTTATTTAAATTAAAAGTTATTTCCACGGAAAAAAATTTAATTAACGTGAAGCTTGATTTTAATAAACGAACCAATATGAAATGTGTTTTCTGATCTGAATTTTTTAAATTGTTTTAATTATTTTTTAATTAGTTAATATCTCCATGCATTTAAGTAGAATATCATTCATAAACTGCGAATTGCTCGAAATAGCCGTGATTTAACGACCAAGATTCGATGTTCATCTCATATGTCACATTTTTTAACTAAATGACAAAGTCTACAGATACACGATCTTTCGTTGCCGTTTCCCGTCGCATCACGTTTCACGTAAATGTTGGAAAAATTAAGTACTCGGACACATCGAATGCACAAAACCAACACTCGCTCACTGCCATTCACGACAGTCGCCGAAAAATCTCAAAAAACACATATCGTTTGTATGAATGTCGAAAAAGATAAGAAGGTAAGAATCCTCGGCCGCGTCGAGTCAACCAATTATTTAAGTCCACTCTCTCCCCGTTCCCGCTTTTTGAATATTTACACACGCGATTGGAAATGTGCGAGATGTGGTTACGTTTAAACGAGGAAACAATTTGTATAGGAAATATCGAGAAAGAAACGAACGCGAGAAGAGATGATGGAATCACTATTATAAACTCTGGAATAATCGATGAATCGTGGAATATTTTATATATCATCACTCTTCTATACGTTATTCGGCGATTTCTCAAACAGAAGTGGGATTAAAGCATGAATTGCGAGCGGCATACTTATCACCTACCTTAGATATCTTATCTCTCGATGCATCTTCTTCCAGGAAACGTCAAAATAAGTGCATTCGATGCGTAAAAACCACTCGCCAATTGCCATTCGCGATAATTGCTTGACGGGAACATTTCAGAAAATGCACATCGTTTGCGCGGAAAAAGTCAGGAATCTTCGCGAACGATTCATCTTCGCGAACGACAACTAATCATTTAATAAAGTGTTTTTCCCGCTGTCCTTCAAATTCTTTTCCCCGCTTAGATCGTTATAGAAATCATGTGATAATTAATAATGAACGAAATATTCATATCAATACAATTGACGAATACGATATGACAATTGACGAAATGTGGTTATATTCGAACGAAATTTATATATATATTTAAATATAAGAACATTAAATTATTTAGTAAGGATTAAAGATTGGATAAATTGATATAAGAATAAAACACTTAATCTAATCTCTTCCTAATGTTTTTTTTTTTCTTTTTTCGTTTCTGTGAAATGTTTTGATGGAACCAAATGATAAAGTTTTCTTTTTTCTCGATTAAATGACAAAATTTTTTTTCTTTTTTTTTCTTTTTACTGTTGCAGACGTATATTTACGATGTATTTATGTATTTATGTATTTACGATGTATTTATGATATGTCGTTTACTGCTCTAGACGTATATTTACACAAGCTAGGTAAAATTATTTAGAACGGGAAAATGCTCCAGTCGTTGATCAGTGCAGTGCAGTGGATCAGTGCAGCAGGCTGCTGCAGACGTATTTAAACGAGATGGCAAATAAAATGCGCGTACCGCTGGCATCCGTAACAATTAAATGCGCAGTGAAAAGGTTAATGGAAGTTTCGATGAGATTTGTAACTCTTAAAAGAGCTAATATGAAGCTGTAAAGGCAAAGATGTATTATTAACAATTATGTGTCCAATAATGCTGTTTATCAAAGCGATTTAATTGTAGGTTCGATACAATAACAAATGCCAACAGATGCAAAACGATGTTGGCTGATGTTGACAAGATCGGATTAGCGACCAAAGAAGCATTATTGGACGTGAAAATCAACACTTGCGAGGTTTATATTATATCCTAGGACCGGTATTCATAGAGTTATAAATTATTTAAGATCTTTGTGTGTGTGTGTGTGTGTGTGTGTGTGTGTGTGTGTGTGTGTGTGTGTGTGTGTGTGTGTGTGTG